GGATGCAAATCTGATTTATGCGAGGCTCTCTTCTTCTTCGATCCACGGTTGCTCCACCTTCTCTCTTTTTTTCTTCTTCCTCCTTTTCTCTTCTCCCCCTCCTCCTTTGCTTCTAATTGAGATCTTGAACAGCAGAGAGTAGAGCCCCCTACCCACCCCTATATGCGCCCCTACTTGTACCTATAACCACTCGCTACTTCACTAGTTCTTGGAGCTATAATTACGAAATCACCGTTGCCCAGAAAATGGATTTAAAACTTGGGAATGTTTGTTTTTAGGTCAAGAAGATGTCTCCACTGCTTCAGTCAAATCGTTGAACAGATTGCCGGCTGGATTTGGTTGGGAATTTTCCATGTGCACCAACTAGAGCTACATCCTGCCAAACTTAGTACGACTTTGCTGCCTGTGTTGATCTTCCTTTGCAGTTTGTATTATCCAGCATCTTAGTCAAAGCTAACTGATGTGTATATTTATGTTTGCTGCTATTTGAAAATGGATCTTCAGACAGACAAGGAGTCAATCCAGGGGGCTGACATATCAAAGTGGACAATGCATAGCAATCGTAACATAAAAAGCTTCACAGAAGGTGAGATCAGACGAACAACAGACAACTACAAGACTATTATCGGGAGAGGTGCATTTGGAGAAGTTTACAAAGGAGTCCTCGATGACGCAAGTATGGTAGCAGTGAAGAGGTTAATTCACAACGTGAAAGAAAACTTTGATAAAGAACTGGCCGTCCATCGTGAAATCAACCACAAGAACATAGTCAGACTCATTGGTTATTGTGTTGGGGAAAATGCCCTAATGATGGTCACCGAGTATGTGCCTAACGGAAATCTGACTGTCATTCTTCACCGTGATAACACTCCCATCCCGTTGGATATACGGCTTAGAATTGCAACACAGTGTGCAGAGGCATTGGCATGCATGCATTCTTACAAGCATACTCAAGTCATTCATGGGGACATCAAACCTGATAATATACTGCTAGATTATGACCTAAATGCAAAAGTATCAGACTTCGGAATATCAAGGCTGGTGAACACAGACATGACGCTGTACACAGGCAATGTAGTGGGCAGCATAGGTTACATAGACCCATTGTTTACTAAGGATGGACGTGTCACTGCCAAGAGTGATGTTTATAGTTTTGGAGTTGTCCTCTTGGAATTATTAACTAGGAAGAAGGCAACACCAACGGATGGACAAGTAAGTGTTGTTACTGCATTTGCTGAAGCTCTTGAAAGTGGCCGGGTCAGAGAGGCGAGAAAATTTCTTGATTCCGAATTAGATCCTTCGAGAAACAAGAATATTCTTGATGAGATGGGAAAGCTGGCAGCTGAGTGCCTGAAGATGAAAAGGGATAAACGTCCTGAGATGAAACATGTGGCAGAACGTCTTAGCAAATCAATGAAAGCTTCGCTTAAGGGAAAGTTGCGAAAGCACCTGTGCCGCCGCTTCTCATATGCAGAGATGGTGGCCGCAACAAGGAACTTTGATGAGTCGCATCTTCTTGGTCAGGGTGGTGTCGGTAGATTTTACGGTGGAGTGATAGATGGTGGAGCAACCATGGTGGCTGTAGAGCGTTCGTGGCATGGATACGAACACGATGAATATGGAGATTTGTTTCGTTCTTTTGTAGAAAGCAGGTCGAAGCTCAACCACATCAACATTGTGCCCCTTATTGGTTACTGCTATGAGAATGACGAGAGGATCCTGGTGTACACCTACATTGATCATGGAAGCCTACATGAGCATCTCTTCGAGACCCAGAACCCACTTACCTGGAAGCAGCGTCTGGAGATCTGTATCGGTGTAGCCCGTGGCCTGCACTATCTTCAAAGAGGTGCCAAGCACCAAGGCCCTATTTGGTTCGCTCCTGGGCGGAGCTGCCTGAACCTGCCAGGGCTCCAGGTGAGCTGCCTAACAGAATTCGAAGCAAACACACCCCAACTCATCAACCATAACCTGAGGGTAAATATTCTTTTGGATAAGGAGGAATTGGTGCCCAAAATTTCAGCTAACAAAATGGCTGATCCTGGCTTGGCTGAATTAGTGGGCTGTGACACTGGCGGTGGTGATTGTGATTTCATTCCCGGTGATGTTGCCAACTGGTTAACTGAGAAATTGGGTGTCTATTCTTTTGGTGCCGTTTTGCTTGAGGTCCTATGTGCTCGTCCACATTTTGACCTTAGAGATCCAGAGGAAAAGGTAAATTTGCAAGTTTGGGCTCGGCGTTGCAAGAGGGATTTTAATTGGATTGACCCCTATCTAAAGGGGAAAATTAATCCACAGTGTTACAACAGGTTCCTCGAAATTGCTGACAAGTGTCTTGCTCATCGTTTTTTTGACCGTCCATCGATGCAAGACGTGGTTTTGGACCTGGAGTGTGCCCTTCAATTGCAGGTGAGTGCAGAGGTGAGCGGAAGCTAGTAGTCTCTAAGCACTGTCTACTTCGGGAAAACATCTGGATCGTTGGAAGTACTATGTACTATACCTGTGCTATTAATCAGTATGCTCTCTCTTCTTTCTGGCAGAAACCATTGCTCTGTCGACAGGCAAAAAAAAAAAATCAGGTTCCATTATTTTATTATGTTATATTGCTTCTCTGCTGTCATATGTACTCCAGGTAGCATGCTGATCACTGTATCACTGCAAAACAGTTGTAATTCAGATTGATGTTTCTGCAATTCTGCTATGGTCAAATATTGAATACTGACAGACAGTTTCAGGCCGTGTCTATACTGCAGTTGCTCTAGTTGCTTTAGAGTTCAGATTATTAATCGACAAAAAACATATAAAAACACATAATCAAATGCAGAGCAAAGAGAAGTAAGCGAACCCCCTTCAATCAATAACTTTCTAACAGTAATAATTTGTACAACTTAGCAATTGGACACTAAGGTAAAATTTGTACAAATTAGCAGTTGGACACTAATTAAACCTGCGGCCTTCAATCACGGCAAACCAGTTCTACTGCTTGATTGATGTTTCTTTGCTAGGGTCAAATAACCAATACTGTCAGCCAATACTTAGTAGCAAAATTTGTTCAGATCGTGCCTATACCGAACCAGTCACTCGAATGCTTGAGAGTTCAGATTAATAATCGAAATAAAAACACATAATTAAATGCAGAGCAGTTTCAAATCAAAAACTTTCTAACAGCAGTTCGTACAAATTAGCAGTTGGACACTGCATGGCTGCAGTGCAAACTACACTAAGGCCCCGTTTGGGACGGCTTCCGCCGGCTCCGGCTTTTTTCGACCGTGACACATCAGCAACAATAATCTGTAGCGAAGCCGGTTTCTCTCTCTCTCACTGACATCGGCACTGTTCATCAAAGCCAGACAAGCCGTTTCTGGCTTTTCCCCGTGTGCTACAGTGCGTTTGCTACAGTGACACAGAAAAGTAGGAGGGAGAGAAACCGGCTTTTGCTATAGTGTTTTTGTCTGGTAAGCCGAGCCGACGGAAACCGTCCCAAATGGGGCCTAAGCATATGCACACTAGAAAAGAACTGCAGAAACTAGGCTAGGTCTACGATGGTTCCTGCGTGCGCAAGCACATCGGCGTTCATGAAGAAACGATTCAGCATTGCCAGTAGCACGTCGGTGGTGAGCAGGCTGTCGGAGCCGGAGCAGTGCGCGCGGCCGGCGGCGCGCTCCACGCCGAGCGCGGCGGCCACCTGCTCCAGCCCCCCGCGCATGGCGCAGCACCTGGCGAGGTGCTTCACGTCGAGCACATTGCGGCCGAATAGATGACGGACCAGGGCGAGGAACCCGTCCAGCGTGCCCGGCAGCGGCTGGCCACCGGTGAGCACCTTGGCGAGGTACGCGAAGTCGTAGGAGCCCGAGAACGCGGTCCAGGTGAGCCGCCCGCAGGCGAGGCCGCTGCGGTGGAACCCGACGGCGAAGTCGTCGGGCGCGATGCCGAACTCGTTCATCGTGGCGAAGTCCATCCCCTGCGCGCGGAGCAAGGCGACGGAGGCCGGCGCGTACGGGTGGCGCGCGAGGTCGAAGCCCCGGAGGTTGAACTGCCACGCGACGGGGAAGCGGCCGGCGGGGCCCGACAGCGCGATCCCGACCTGGAGCAGCTTGAGGTCGTCCACGTTCTTCTTCACCAGCGCGTAGCTCTCGCGCGGCCCGCGGAGGTACCGCGGTGTGTCCGAGTCGTGCACCGCGCCGGGGAACTCGGTGTCGACGCACACCCAGGGGTAGTGCGGCAGCGCCGCCGAGAGTTTGGAGAGCTCATCGTTGAAGTTGCCGGCCCACACGTCGCGCACCTCGGCGCGGACCTCCTTGGCGGCGGCCTCCAAGAACGCGCCGCCGGCGGGCGTGAACACCAGGGGCGACGGCTGCGGCGGGTACTCCACCATGGTGTACTGGGGGACGATGTGGACGAAGCTGCACAGCGGAGGCGGTGACGGCGGCTGCTGAGGGTAGAGGAGGACCGGGCCGCCGTCGTGGGAGTACATCGCCGTGGCTTCAAAACCGCCGGTAACCGCGTCTTGGCGAGTTTGCGTTTTGATCTTGGGAAGACGTGGGCGTTAATCGTGGCCGTGCCCTGGTTTTATGGTGGCGGCGCAAGATACGGGCGTGCCGACCTCGGATTGTCGTTCTATGAGTAACAACAATCGGATCGGACTCTTCTAGGGTTTCCACCCTGCTACGATCACCAATGAGGCAATGACAATCAAAAGCATGCACGATTTGTAAACCTCAGTCCAGCTAGGATTGCATCAAATTATTGAGTAGGCATCAATCACCAATGCACCAGTCATCAAAATTACAAGAGATTCTATCTACAGAACAGTCTTGTCATGTTTGCAACAAATTTTGTCTCAACTAGTTCACTCAATACACGTCTACCAAGAGTAGTTCTACACTATATTTTGGTGTTTTCGTGACACCAAAACCCAATGAAATATACAGATTAATAAATATCATTTTAGATGTCAACAGTCTTCCCATAAGATATGCAGGCATGAGCATCCCAAGAACTCAATCATCCAGGATTACTCTGGTCCTCCGGGGCTTGTTATACATGGTTCGCACACCAGCACGAGACTGGTCGCCTGATTCACGGCTTGCGAGCGAAAGAGAATTCATGTCATCGTTTATTGTTCGGTTTATCAACGATATCTGCCTATGCTCCACCCGTGGTCTCCTTTCCCTAGATTCCACACCATCTTCACCAGAACTCACGCCGTTACCATGCAACCTCTCGTGCACCGACCGACGTGGCCACTCCCTGGTATTGTCAACTTGAGATTGCAAGCCAGGCGTACTAGATTGATCTCTCAATTCCCTTGACCTCCAAGCAGAATTCCTTTCCCTCTCAGCACTTGAGGCAGAGACAGGGCGCTGGCCATGCAGGCTTTGCAGTGACAGCACTTCGACTGCAGGGGCTTGCGCATGCCCAGAAGGCTGTTCTCCAAGAATGCCGCTTCCATATTTCCCAGCAGTTGTTCTTCCTTTAGACCTCTTGCCTCTGGATACTTTGCTCAGATTTGTTATTTGGACGTCAGGTAGCTTGCCCTTGCCTTCATCTGATGATATGCCAGTTTCTTGTACAAGAGGGGTAAGGTTAAGCAGTTCTGGGTCATCTTTAAAATCGAATGGACGCTTTGCTGGGTCCATTTTTCTAAATGTAATGGATATCCTGTGTTTCAGAAAGTAGCGCATTAGATTTTTGAATACCAAATAGTTCAATGAATTTTGAAAAACAATACAACAGATGAGTGTAACCTTTTGGTAGGGACTGCTGGAACACAATGCTTTGCTACATCAGCACCGTTGCCATTCAGAACAAGGACAGATCTGTGAGTTTTCATATATAGTAAGAGAACCGTACAGTTGAACTGATGGCCTAATGATTTAGCAATATGAGTTCTGTGAACTGTACCACTGGAAAACAAGGATACTACTGTGCAAATCATAAATTAAAGATACACCAAAATAGTAAATAGACACACCACAATAAATCATAGTAAATAGACATTCACAGCAAAAACTTTTTTTTTTGTAAAAAAGTAAATACAGGGCAAAGGAGACAATTTAAGCAAATCACAGTACGATGCAACAAGCAATCATCTACAGAATTCAAATGACCCACTAAACAGTCTTGATATTCATATATATTCACAACTTTGAAATGTCAAGAAACAAAACCATTTTCAAACTATCCATATATATATAGTATATAACAATAAACAAGTGCAACTAGCATAAGAAATCTATTAGCAGACGGAAAGAACATGACAGAATATGTACCCGACAGGGAGAGGGATCGCAATTGAACCGGTGAATTCTCCAGGGGCAGAAGCTTTCAGGCTAGATCCAAAAAGAATGTTGCATTCGCTGAGGAAAGAAACAGTGCAAAATGGCCTAACAAAATCATGGCTATCTATATGTGGTGGGATGCAATCTCCAGGTTCATATATATTTACAATGCAGCTGTCCGGTACACAAGTTGTAGGCAGAACTTGCCATCGTACCAATCTCTTAATCATAGTCTTGAAGAGGTCAGGCATTGGATCAGAAACAATGGTCCGTATGATGCCTGGTGGATTTCCATTCTTATCCTGCCATGATAGATTTTACCATTAGATTTACAGATGGGTGTTCAACAATGCTTAAATGTACAAATATAGTTCACAAGATGGAATTTTCAAAGGAGGAAAGTACCGTAGCATAATTGTAACAGCATCCAAATTGGATTGTTACCCGGCCTTTACCACGCATCCATTTTTGAGGTTCTGTATATGTGCGCTCTATCATGAGAGGAAAGATAACTCGATTTAGACAAACAAAAATAGGAAGCTAAATATAGCAAATGAACAACTGCAAGTTACATGAATAACATATCAGCATTCAACTATCAAGAGAGAACATTATGAATGTAATACTATATTATACAGTTCAAGATATATGAAGTATAACAGTACCTAAAATCACATCATAATTAAAATACAACTGATTTTTTTATATTTATGCTTTCTCTAAAATGTTAATTCAGTTAAAAAAAAGAAATCATTTGACAAAATTTGACTAATTTAATTAAGACATCCACCCCACAAGGCCACAAGGAGGAACTGAAATCAAAATAATATGATTCTGTAATAACGAATTTGTATAAACCACCAGCTTGACTTGGTCACTGAGAAGCTTGTATGATTGACTTCTCAAAGCTTTCAATGCATATAGTCAAGTTGTGATTACCTATTAGTGTGTTCATGGTGAATGTGTGGACTGGAGTCACAAAAGTCATCGATTCTATAGTATTATTATGCATGCTAGCATTTTTGTAGTAATAAAAGGCTACAGTTTGGTTCCACAGAACAAGCTACAATAAAATGTGGTACGAGCAATCAGCCCACAAAACAGGGGTAATGACAAGTGCATATTCCATTCTACATGTTGCATTTCTGTATGGTTTCAACAAAAGGAGATCTTTTCTGAAATGTGAAGAATCAGGTTCGTTTAAGGATTTGTCTGAGCCAAGTTGAGGAGAGCCCACAATACTATTAATATACTTGAAACGTGATAGAAAATTGATCAAGGACCTAAAGAAATACAGTAAGATGTTCATGTTTGCCTGCTTGCAAATGCTGATGTGAAAAACTACAATTGATGTACAAGAACATAAAATAAGGAAACCAGAAAATTGTGTGGACAACACTAAATGATGCTGAGTTAGTAATGCAGGAATGCTATGGCTTATGATTTATAAGAACATGTAAATATCGGCAGTGGCTGAGCTAGAGAAATATTGAGGGGGGTGCGACCATATGGTTCAATATAACGCTATTTGGTACCAGTGTATCAGTCCCTCCCACACGCTAGGCACCAGTCTTGCGGCTCATCATCTTTTTTTTTCCCACTTCTGCGACGATATAACACATACAGTCCATCTTTTTTTTCTTGGTGATTGGTGTGTTGGAATATAAAGTTTTATGGATCACACTATACAACATTAAAAGGTTTGAACTAGAGGGATTTAAGGATCTAGTAGAATGTATTTTCCTTATCACAAATAATGGCATCCATAATTATAAAATTCTCTTAAGAATAGAGAATATGTGAAGTTGCTTACTTTGCCTTGTAAAGAATGAACAGGATAAAGAAGAGCATGGCCAGGGCAGTGGACGAACGGCGATAGGATCCTGGTGCCCATGTCCCTAAGGCTAGACGCCTGACCAGTGCGAAGCAATGCCACGGCTGGCCGCAGCCGAAGGTCAGCTAGGCTAGTTCACGTTGGGCTGCCTGTTGCGGAGTTGTGGGCTGCTGTGGGCTTTCAACACTGGCTCAGCTAGCCTGTGTGGGTGCAGACGTTCGTGGGAGAGGGGGTGCAAATACGGTAGAAGTGTACATACTATTGCCTATTTTGTATTTCGGCCTGGGTGCGGCTGCACCCAGTAACTCTACATGGATCCGCCCATGAATATCGATGTAGCAGACTCGTGTGAATGGTTTCCAAAGTGTTCTGTAGGCGTTCAGGTCTGTCCCCAAAGGCCAACGCCACACGACACTACCAGGTGCCCATGGTTCTTAAAGCGTTGAGGCAAGGCATGATGACCCACCACCCTCTATCACCAGTGGGCAAGACAGATCGCCATAATTACAGATAAAGAAGAGACGGAAAATAAGTCATTCACTCAATGGGCTATAACCACAATAACAAATGAGCCCCCACTAGCAAATTAAAAGCCCAACCCAAAACCACCGCTCCACTCTGGCTTCCACTTCAGGTATACCGTACCTCTCAAGTCTGCTCCCCTTCTGTGCCGCCTCTCCAGTCCCTCGACACCACCACCCAGCAAGAGCAGTGGCGAGCCCACCACCCCCAAGTGCCTCCATGGGCCATGAATCGCCCCCTCCCCACTAGTCAAATGGATCCCTGCAGCTGCCCCCTTCCAGATCACCACCGCCATAGTTGAGCAGGGGCAGATCTACACTGGCCATCATCCTGGGAGCCAGGGGGGCAGAGCTATGCCAGCCATTGCGCCAGAGCCTATGAGGATGAAGGAAGCAGGAGACAGGGTCGTGCCGCCCACTGGTTCTCATCCTGCTTTTCCATCCTTCCTCATGGCCCCTGCTTTTCTCCTCCCTTCTTTTGGCTGGGCATCAGCAACGCCTTGACCCCAATGAGCGCCCTGTCGCCTAGGTGATGCCTTAAAATCCATGCTGTCAGCTAGAGGTCACAAGACCCCACAACGCCTAAAAAACCATGCTCATGTGTGTAATAAAACTAATGGGCATGTGGCATTCAATAATAAAAATGTTTATTTTCCTATATTACTACCAGCTATAGGTTTTTGGATAATAATCATACTAGAGGGGATAGTTCTGGTACTACAGAATGGACCTCATATGGTAACATATAACTGTGGCACTTTGAATTTGATTGTCACGAGTCCTGAGCTAAAGTTGACTTTATCCAAACATTCCTCCAAGTCATTATGAAAATGCAGCGAATTCAACCCCAACTTCTGGACAGAGCACATCATGAGTCAAGACCATTAAAAATCAGTGAGTGAGACTCACCTCCGAGCTCCCCACGCTGCCCTCTCGCCTGGAGGTCATACACGCATTGGACAATCCGCCGCTGCTCAGCTGCGCTGAACACGCCTGCATGAAGCTCAAGGCCAGCGAGGATGTTGACGAGCTGGCCATGAACTCTCTCGTAGCACCTGAAATCCTTGTTGCGCACCACGCTACTGAGCCTCCTCTGTTCCCGCTGCTCCCTCGTGAACCGCACCTTGGGCCTCCCCGCCTCGGCCCCCTCGTCCCCATCGTCGGCAGCTGCGGCCGCCGCGTCATCCTCCGCTGCCGCGGCGAGCTCGTCCTCCTGCGCCATGTCCGCCCACGACATCCTCGGTTTCTCCGCGGGCGGCGGCGCCGGGGGTGGGGGCGGATCCGAATCCCAACCGCTCGGCTCGAAAGGAAGGTTCTGCGGGTGCGCCGGATCCGAGTCCCACCCTGACGGCTCAATCTGATCGACCGGCTGCGGCGGCGGCGGCGATTCCTCTGCTGCGCGGGTTGGTTGGATGCACGTCAGGCACAGGAACTGACGAGAAACCCTAGTAGCACAAGCGTACGGCCGCACAGACGGCAGAAGGCGGACGGCGGTTACCTCGCGGGAGCAGGGAGTCGACGCGGCCGCGGAGCGAGGAGGCGCAGGAGGGGCAGAGGCCGGCGGAGAGGAAGGGGAGCCAGGTGGTGAGGAACTCCCCCGCGATGGCGAGCTCCTCGGCCGTGTACCCCTGCACGAGCGCCATCGGGTCGGCGGCTCCGGCGCCGTCGCCGCCGCCGCCGCTGCCGGAGGAAGAGGAGGGCGGCGCCATGGCCATCGTACCGCCCGCCGGAGCGTGAGACCCCCCTCGCTCTGTAGTCTCTGACGCGTGGGCCCTTCGTCCGACGCCGCCTCGCTGGCCCCGATTTGATTCGATTCGACGACGCCTTCGCCTTTCGGGGAAGGTTTTGGGTGCTCTTTTGTTCGAAAGGATAGCCTAGCGTTTTTGCCGGCCTCTGGCGCGTGGGACCCAGCAATCCTAGCCGTCCCTCGCAGGATGGGACGGCCAGAACGGAGGCTTTGATTGAGTGGCGAAAAGAGGAAACGGGGCGTCGGGGGCGTGGCGGGCTGACGCTTGGTCTGCTTGCTTCGTCGGCTGGACCCGTTCCGGGCTTTGAGGGCCAGGTAGAGAGGCTGTTTTTCTCTTTCAAAAAAAAATCGAATATCGTAAGATGAAAAGTTTGGTTTATGCGGGTTATTAGTGTTTGCAAACTGGATAGAAACCGCACCAAACACCAGTACTCCTTTTCCATTTATAAAATGGGTTATTGCGTTCTTGCCCCTATTTTGAACCCTAATTGTGATTTTACCCATATTTTCTTTCACTTTGTGTTTTTACCCCTGCTTTTCCAAAACGAAGGTTCAGTTTATCCCTACTCCGTGAACAGCATGTAACGGTGTTAAAAAGTTGAAAGATGACAAGTTTGCCCTTTCGAATATTGCATTTTTGCTCCTATTTCAAACCCCAATTGTGATTTTACCCCTACTTTCTTCCACTTTGTGTTTTTACCCCTACTTTTTCAAAACGAATGCTCCATTTACCCCAATTCTTAACTCAGTTTTCTACATCCGGATCAAAGCAATTAAAAATTAACAAAAGCTCTGTGAAAAAACAAACTTACCCCTTATCTCTCGGTCGTCTCTCTCATGGTCGTCCCACTCAACGCTAGCAGGCGGCGGTGGCGGCGGAAGGGCAGCGTCGGGCCATCGGGTGGGCGCGGCGGCGAACGCGTCTGCGACTGGTGGAGGAAGCGGACGCAGGCGTGCGTCTTAACTGGCGTGGGAAGCGCGATTAGGCATCTTGGCTTTGCTTAAGCGTGTAGTAGCCAGCCGCAGCACGCGTAGCTCTGCTTGGCGCGTCGTGTGAAAGCACCGACCATGGAGCCGAAGACGCCTCTCTCTCAACTCTAGCGGATGGTTGGGCGGCGGCGGCGGATTGCTTGGCCGGGCCGTCGAGGCGGTGTCTGCAGCAGTGGGCGATGTGTATTGCGAGGTACAAAATCATAGCTCGACCAGCGGGTCGAGCTATGATTTCCATTGCCCGCCGCACACGCCCACTGCGGACACAGACACCGCCTGACCGACGGCCGCATTGCTGGCCTTCCACCGCCGCACACCCGACCATCCGCTAGAGTTGAGAGAGAGAGGCGGTCTTCGGCTCCATGGTCGCTGTCGCCACGAGACGCGCCACGACGCCGTCTAAGCTGCGCGCCACGCGCAAGCAGAGTCACAGCGTGCTGGCTCGGCTACCATACGCCAAAGTTAAGCGCGCGCGCTTCTCCTTCGCCAGACGACGCGCCCACCCGATGGTCTGACGCGCTTCTTCCGCCACAAGACTCCAAATGGCCGCGCTTCGCTGAAGCGTTGAGAGGGACGACCACGAGAGAGATGACCGAGAGATAAGGGGTAAGTTTGTCTTTTCACAGGGCTTTTGTTAAGTTTTAATTGCTTTAATCCGGATGTAGAAAACTGAGTTAAGAATTTGGATAAACGGGACCTTCGTTTTGGAAAAGTAGGGGTAAAAACACAAAATAGAAGAAAGTGGGGGTAAAATCATAATTGGGGTTTGAAATAGGGGCAAAAACGCAATATTCGAAAAGGCAAACTTGTCATCTTTCAACTTTTTTAACGCCGTTACCTGTTGTTCACAGAGTAGGGGTACACAGAACTTTCGTTTTGGAAAAGTAGGGGTAAAAACACAAAGTGAAAGAAAATAGAGGTAAAATCACAATTGGGGTTCAAAATAGGGACAAGAACGCAATAGCCCCAGAATACAATTTTTATTTTTCTAGACTTAAACAGTCGGGTTCATAAACCCGTGGTTCTTCATGGATCTGCTTCTCAGCAAAAACTCGACCCAGCAGACGACGTTGCGAACAACACGCAACTCCTGAGCCAGCCAAAAATACCTAAACGGCAGGTCAGAAGGGCGATCTAGTCCCCGACCGGGAGGCCTGGCCAAAGAAGAACGGCACCGGAAGGCCTGTCAAAGGAGGACCGGCGCTCGCTTCCGACTCCAGCCAGCATATCCATCACCGAACCCCTGCTTACAGCTCTTTTCTGACCGGGAGGCCGGAGCCGACTGGGGAACGACCGGCCGGGGACGCCCGCTCGGTGAAAACCTAGGAAACGGACAGAGCAAGTAAAGCGGGGCGCTCCAGTCAAACCGCAATACCAAGAACCATACCCTATACACCTGTAGGACAGTACTGTTAGGTCATGTGAAAATGGTACTTTATAACCTTCTAGACATGTCAGGACACCAACAGTGTTATGAGCGCCGACATTTATCCTATAGTATGGTAGGCGTCGACATTTGTCATACTAGAAGAACACGGTGGAACCAACCACATGCACCCAGCCATCAACAGTATTGTCGGCGCCGATAAAACATCTTGTACCCGACGGCGTGGGCAACAAGACTAGGTAGCACACACACTCTTTCTCTCGCGCTCTCTCTTATAAAGCCATCCCCTTTATCTATAAAAGGGGATGCGCTCTCTCCAAAAGGAGGACGATCAATTCAGACAACAATAGACGGATCACTCCGATTCACTCTCTGTTAGCTTTAGACACTCTAAAGCTACACAGAGCACACGCTCAAATACTCAGCGCACATAAGAGCTCGCGTCACTCTCGGTCCTTCAGTCCAGAGTCCGACCGGACCTCTTGCATCCCCCATCTTACTCTCTCTCGTTTGTAACTCCACAGCAAACTTCGAGCACCTAGGCTCAGGAATAAAGTCGTCGACCGACTTATACTGGACGTAGGGCACGTTGTCTGAACCAGTATAAACTCTGTGTCATTGAGTGCTAGGCCACATCCAATCACAATGTACGGTAAAACTATAAATATTTACGTGTTTGTCACTTTTCGCACCGACACAAACATTTTAAAGTTTGATCAAAGTTGTACAAAAAATATTAATACATATGATACAAAATAAGTACTATTAAATTATATAGAATATATTTGTATAGTAAACTTAGTTGGAGACATAAATATTAATACTATTCATCATAAATCTGACCAATTTAAATTAGTTTGACAGATAGAAATCACATAATTGTATCCTTTTTAGTGCAGAGGGACTACCGAATATTGTATCCTAAGATGAAAATCGCATAAGTCAAAACACCAAACAGCCGAACAAACCACAAAAATTCGTCGTTTGGCATTCGATTCAGCGTGATTTTTCGTTTTTTTTTGGTGTTTTTCCCCACCCCTGGCTCAGCCTGGGCACATTTTAACCGCAAACCGAAAACCGAGCCGAGCCGAACCGAATCGAGCCGAAATATCTGTTTTTTCGGTTTTCGGTTTCGGTTTCGGTTTTTGCATATGGGAATTACGGTTCTCGGCTCGTTGATCGGTTTTGGCCTCCAACGGAACCGAACAACCGTTCGAACCAACAATGAAGGACCTCCGATGTCCGATCTGGAGCCTACACACGATGCCCCTTCCCACCACCGCGGGCCCAACAATCTGCTAGAGCCCAATAGGCAAAGAAAGCCCTTCACAAAGCATCACTAGTCCACCAAACACGCCATGCAAAAGTCGCCGCCGCCGTCGCCTCTCCAAACCCTAAGCTGCCAAGCCTAAGTCGCTGTGAGGCGAAAGCAAAAAGGGCGGGGCGGCGGCGGCACAAGCAGAGAGCATTTAGCGCGAGCGGGCACCGTGGCTGCAAGCGAAGCGGCAGCAAGGCGCAGCGCGATCTGGCGCGCAGCGAAAGGTGGTGGTGGTGGTTGCTGCAGCAGCGAGCTCGACACACAACGCGGCGTCCGCGACGTGGCGGCGTCGGCGCGATGGATGAGCGCGGCGAGCGGCCGCCGCAGCAGGGACAAAGGGACGGCAGCAAATGCACATCCGCTCGTGTGTTGGTCGAAGCGTGTGGCGTCGTCGTGAACCTGCAATTTTTTCTTCTCGATTCTCGGATTCTCTCTTTCGATTTTTTCTCTGTTTCAAACTTGACGGTTAGTTCGGTGGAACCGAGAAACCGAACCGATTCAACCGAAACCGAACTTGACGGTTTTCGATTCTCCAGAACACCGATCGGTTGTTGATTCCTGGGAACCGAAGTTTGTAGCAACCAAACAAACCGAACCGATTTGTCGGTTAAAACCGAATGCCCAGGGTGACCCCTGGCGGCAGGAATGCACCCTCTTGCAGCACGCACGGGGCGTTCTGGGGGCAGTGGCTTCACGGCGGTGCACAGGCGCAACGCAGACATTGGCCTGGGCCTAATTAGTACTACTTCATAGCACCACCCTGGCCCAACTTGGCCCATACCTCTTCGATCTCTAGTATGGTAGCTTCGGCGGCGCTCCGCCGGCTCCGTTCCTCGCCGCGGCTTCGGCACGCCGCCGCCGCCGCCTACGTATCTTACGGCAGCGCGGCTGCCGCGTCCGCCGCCGTGGCGCTCGAGCGCGCGAAGGACCCGAACCGCCTCATCGCGGAGCTGGCCGCGGCGGGGCGCGTGTGGGACGCGCGCAAGCTGTTCGACGGGACGCCCGACCGGGACGTGGTGTCCTGGACGGCGCTGGTGTCGGCGTACGCGCGGCGGGGATGCTGCGCGACGCGCGGGCGCTGTTCGACCGCCCCGACGCGCGCCGGAACGTGGTCACCTGGACGGCGCTCCTCTCCGGCTACGCCCGCGCCCGCCTCGTCGACGAGGCCGAGGCGCTGTTCCAGCGGATGCCCCAGAGGAACGTCGTCTCCTGGAACACGATGCTGGAGGCGTACGCCGCGGCGGGCAGGGTGGGTGATGCCTGCGCGCTGTTCGACCGCATGCCGGTCAGGGACGCCGGCTCGTGGAACATTCTGCTGGCCACGCTGGTGCGATCGGGGAGCGTGGATAAGGCGCGAGCTGTTTGGGAGAATGCCGGAAAGAGATGTAATGGCTTGGACGACGATGGTTGATGGTGTTGCGCGGAGTGGTAAGATTGACGAGGCTCGAGTGTTGTTTGATAGCATGCCAGAGAGGAATGTAGTTTCTTGGAATGCCATGATATCTGGGTACACAAGAAACCACAGGATTGAAGAAGCCCTGGATTTGTTCATGAAGATGCCTGAGAGGGATATTGCTTCTTGTAACATTATGATTACTGGTTTTATACAAAACAAAGATTTGAAGAGGGCACGGAAGCTCTTTGATGGGATGCCAGAAAGGAATGTTGTCACTTGGACGACCATGATGAATGGTTACTTGAAAGGCAAGCAGAGTGAGCTGGCATTGGGGTTATTTAGTGGTATGCTAATGGCAGGTATCAGACCAAACCAAGTGACATTTTTGGGTGCACTTGATGCATGCAGCAATCTCGCGGCACTCTGTGAAGGGAAGCAGGTGCATCAAATGATATGCAAAACAGCATTTCAGTTTGATACTTTTGTCGAGTCTGCCCTGATGAATGTATATGCAAAGTGTGGTGAAATTGGATTGGCAAGAAAGTTGTTTGATCTTTCAAGGGAGAAGGACTTGATCTCTTGGAATGGAATCATTGCGGCATATGCGCACCATGGTGTTGGCATAGAAGCAATCCACTTGTATGAAAAGATGCAAGAAAATGGATATAGGCCTAATGATGTCACCTATGTGGTGTTGCTCTCAGCATGTAGCCACTCTGGGTTGGTTGACGAAGGGCTTAAGATCTTTGAATCCATGGTAAATGATAGGTCAATTGCAGTGCGTGACGAACATTATACTTGCTTGATTGATCTTTGTAGCCGAGCAGGACGACTTGATGACGCCAAAAGATTAATTCACTATCTTAAGATTAAGCCTGCATCAGGTTCTGTCTGGAGTGCCCTTCTAGGTGGGTGTAATGCACATGGAAATGAGAGCATTGGCAATTTGGCAGCTAGAAATCTCTTACAAGCAGAACCCGATAACGCTGGAACCTATACTCTCCTATCCAATATCTATGCTTCAGCTGGTAAGTGGAAAGAAGCAGCAGAAATTAGGTCAGAGATGAATAATCGAGGACTAAAGAAACAACCCGGTTGTAGTTGGATAGAGGTGGCAAATAAGGTTCATGTGTTTGTAGCACGTGATAAGTCCCACAGTGAATCTGACTTGATCTATGGTCTGCTGCAAAATATCCATCACATGATGAGGATTGTTGGAACTGTCCCCAGTGACCTTGTGCATGTTGATGAGGATGTAGTGTCTATTTAGTTGCAAGCTGAAGTATTCCATTTCAACTGTATGGATTCAGTCAAACAAAGTAACCTCCAGCATTCAATCTAAGGGCAACCCTACGAAAACATCAGGTAGCAATCGCTTACATCCCTTTGAGGATACAAGTACAGTGCTTTTATTCGCCATAAAAAAGTACAGTGCTTTATGCTATTATGTTTCCTCTATTTCCTGTTTGCACTTATATGAGCTGAATTTTGATGCTAGAAATTTGAACTGAAGCGCAAGCCATTCCTCCTGCAATTGATTGGCAATTTACCAGAGGATCTCTTGACATCAACACTAGCTGCAAAGCTGAATGCGTATGCTGCTGGGCTCTGCCCTGCAATTATACAAAAGAGAACTAGCTCCAAGATTGATGAGATCTCAAAGAAAGGATGGCCCATCTTGAGGAAACTTAGTTTATACTAGCTCCTGGACTCAGATCTACTGTTGCAATGTAGAAACAAGAGAGGTGCATGATTTTGCAGAAAAAAAAAGGAATAGCTCAGTTTTCACCATTACCATGATGGCCTCAGTCATCCTTTCTTTACTTTGCTCACAAAGATTATATAATTGTTCATAGCATAACATCTTCATTGACGTTGTGATTATTGAGGCTGTGTGTTACCCCATATGTAATCCAAATTCATGGTTCAGGCTTAGTAGTTGTTTGTTGTAATTCTGGTGGTTCATTTGTGAAAATATAGGTATTTTGACTCTTATTTGGCAGAGCTTGTGGTCATGTGCATGTGAATGTGACCATGAAAATTTGGTTTTATTGATCGGGGGTGTATCAGTTTGTCTGTAGATAGAAACAATGGTCGATAATGATGTGACTGTGACCGCAGAAAAACAAGCGATTGGTATTATTCATTAACATTAAAAAATATGCCTGCACTTTTTCCTAAAAAGCTGATTACATGGTACTATTGTATATATCCTACTACATTGTTTTGTGGGGAAGCAATTATAGCAATTATGAACGCAATTTAATACATTGTTTTGTGGATAAATTAAAACAATAGCAGATCTTTTTTTTTTGAAAAACCAATAGCAGATCTATGTTTTCCTTAGCTACTTCTAGCGTTAGGTTCAAGTAATAATCAATTGCGGACAAAAATAATATTTTTTATTCATAGGCAAAAAAAAAAATATTCAAGAATATTTAGATCTATACTTATATTCATTTCCAAATATGGATTTAAATATTGAAAGTATGCTATCCGATTTGGTAGCTGGGACGACGCCAAGGATAATAGTACATAACGATGACTTTGCGTCTCAAGTCGTGGGTGGTGTTGGAACTGACAAGACGCGACAACACAGTGTCTCACATAGGACCATGAACAAAGTTGAGCTAAAAGGAAAATTTAAGGACTAAAATACACTTTGATAATTCATGGATGAAACTGAGCCTGAAATATAATGTTTAGGGACTAAATTGACCACTTTGATAGTTACGGGATGAAACTGAGACCAAAAAATTTTTTGAAAACTAAAATGACCATTTGAAAGTTTAGGGACAAAACTAAGCCTTGTGTGATAGTTGAAGAACCAAAATGAGTATTCCACCTAGATAGATTAGGACAACTTCTCTTGAATTTCATTCAACACCAGCACCGCAGCACCATGGTCAACTTAAGCATACTTGTTCTTTGCCATAGTTTTAATTTTATTTGCTAATGACATACAATACCAAGCGTCCGTATGGTTTCTTTTTCAGAGATGCATGGTAGATGCAATCCATTTTAAAAATGATTTAAATGCCAATGATGTATAACCATTACAGATAGTGAGTGCCCGTTCTTGTTGGGTGTAAACTTGGCATGGAGTTAAGATACTTTTGTCACAAAAGTGTCTAACTTCCAATTAAATCCAGATCCACCATGGACTAGCCACATGTTACAAATATTCAGCATGTTCGTTTCGGCTGAAACGATCGTGGATTATAAGCCAGAAGTACTGCTGGCTGGTTTGGTGTGAGAGAAAAATACTATTCCAGCTTATAATCCACGATCGTATAAGCCGAAACGAACAGGCTGATTGTGTGTCACTAATGGTCAAATGTGAGATGAGAATACCACTTTGGTGAACGAGGTGTAAGAGACCTTGTTGATTTGTTATCTTTGTTCCCTCTGTTGGTTTTATTTGCATATGGTGTGCTCAGACACATATTCATTTTTTGAATTGTGTAGATTATCAATTCATACTATTTTTGTGAATGAAATGTTAGAACTAAGAATCTACTATAGTACAAATCTATGATATTTTTTTGGCTTGGATGTAGCAGCGGTCCCGTCATAATCCAAGATGAATTAATAGTGACCTCCAGCTTGTGGGTATAGTGGCTACCCGGATACTTCCCCGCCTTTGTACATTGAATTTCAACTTATTTTTTGAAATTTCATAACTTTTCCATATAAATTTTGACAAATACAAACTTTATATAAAAATTATAGGTTGGTCTACAACTTTGTAGTTGAATACCCTTTTGATTTTGAAGTCATTTAGGTGCTAAATACTCAAACAAAGGTTTAGACAAGAAGGGTCAAAAGGAAATAAACTCTCTATTGCTTGTACAGTGTTATAGCGGGATGATAAGTTTGGTAATCCACAATCATTCATTTTACGTGTTGGCCCTCAAGCATAAATACCATCTCTCCTTCGTAGTTTGAGCATCAACTTGTTTGAGGAAATCTGTAGCTTTTCCATATGGACTTGGATGAGAACACTGCATGACACAGTAGTAGCAGTAGTGTATGAAATGCTTATTTTGGTGGATAAATTTTAAATGCTAAAAATGCTTACATGTGACAGATATAGTCATCTCATTGACACACTGCATGACACAGTAGTAGCAGTAGTGGATGCCTCTTCGTTTCCTACCCGTACATTGAAATATGCTGGGTGGTTTGGCTTAGCTAGAATCTTAGTCTTGCTACTTAGCATTACAACAACATCTAACATCGTTGGTCGATCGACTGCATTCTCTTGTACACAAAGCAATCCAATGTTTATGCACCTCATTATCAATTCATCTGAATGATGCATGGATAACAATGAAGCATCAACGAGTTCCCTCCATCTTCCCTCTTCATATAACTGCCATGTCTGTTTGGAATTTCATCACACAATAACTAATGTAGATAGATACCAATCTAACAAAATAAAGTTCCATGCATGTAAGCTGATAAACTTACATATCCAAGGATATTGATGAAATCTCCACAGTCATGGATACCAGAATTCCTTTTTCCGCTAATGATCTCAAGAATGAGAACACCAAAGCTGAATACATCGGATTTGATAGAGAAGAGGCCCCCGGAGGCATACTCAGGAGCCATATAGCCACTAAAACGACATGTAAAGGTCAAATTTGATTTGTATTATAAATGTTCATAAATGGACCAATTTCTGTTTTCTGTGATACTTACTATGTACCAACCACTCTCCTTGTAGTGCTTCCTTCGTTGTTATTTGAGCTAAATATTTTTGCTAGCCCGAAGTCTGAAATTTTAGGATTCATTTCATTGTCCAAGAGAATGTTGCTTGGTTTAAGATCTCGATGTATGACACGCAACCGGGAGTGCTTATGTAGGTAGAGAAGTCCCTCTGCTGTTCCTTCAATTATTGCTAGACGTTTGTTCCAATCCAGTAATGATTTTCTATCTTCATCTGTATATTAGTTAAATGTTAGCATAACTGGAAACCCCTTGACAAACAATAAATTGGAAACGGTATACTTAGAAATACATAGGGAGTGAACTATGCTCAGCTGCTAGAAACAAAATACTGAGAAAGCTTTCATTCACTTTGGAACATCGATTTGATAATTAATATAAAAATATTTATAAAATCAATATAAAGCCTAAATTAAAAACTCCAAACATACCAAAGATAAAGAAGTCCAAGCTTTTGTTTGGTAAGTATTCATAGACCAAAATTTTCTCCTCTTCCTGTGAGCAACATCCCAAGAGCCTAACCAAATTTGTGTGTTGGAGTTTTGCTATGAGTTGTACTTCATTTTTGAACTCTATAAAACCTTGTCCTGAATGTGAAGCAAGTCTTTTAACTGCTATCTCAACTCCCTCAGGAAACTGACCCTGTGAAGAGAAAATATTCAGAAGTTCTTCAGTGGTATTTTGCCGCACTCAGTTGCTTTATGATACACAAGTCACAGTTCCCATGTAACTAGTGAAAGCAGATATATATATCCATGTTGGGTCAATCTTCATCTTCACTAAAAGAATATATGCGATATCTTCTTTAGAAGCAGGCTACTAGCTAGCGTGCCCATATATACCAGGACCATTATGAGGCTATCCTGGTATGCTTTACCTTATAGACGGGGCCAAACCCACCCTCCCCAAGTTTATTTTCTTCAGAAAAGTTATTTGTGGCCTCTAATATCTGATGAAAGTCAAAAACCGAAAACTCGGAGAGGTTCTCTTCCATTTCCCAATCTGGTTCTTCTCCTCCTCGCAATCTGTTATGAGTAGGCTTTCGGCGTAATCTAGGCCTACCTGCATAATAACAGACATTGATGCAATGAATTTGATCTCTTTATTAAATGCCTTTTATTGGAGTAGGAGTATATGGGAATTGGGATGAACATATGGGACTGTAAGAATTATACGACGACAGAACCAATCAACCCACCTTTTCTGTACCTTCTTCTTCGCCAACGACAGTAAAAGATGAAGCAGAGTGCTACTACCGCTAGAGGAGGTGCTACAGACACGGCAATTACCCAGGGCTTCATCCCTGCAGGTCCTCGAGACAAATACACGTGCATGAACATATTCAGTCAGATCAAAGTCATAATAATTAACACTTCATCAATATATAAAGCGTCTGATCATCAGCAAGTACTAATTAATCTTCAAACTATATTGTCTGAAAACATTGTACTCCCACCGAGCCAAAATAAGTCAAACACTTTTAACTTTGAAGATCAATATATAAAGCGTCTGATCTCATTTCCTAATAAGTCAAACACTTTTTACTTTGACCAAATATATATAAGAAATCATTAATATTTATAGAATATATTTGCGTACTAAATCTATTTGGAGATACAAATATTGCTATTATTTCTATAAATATAGTCAAAGTTAAAAAAAATGACCAGTACGAAACCTAAAACGACACATATTTTGGGAGAGAGAGAGTATATAACAAGCATTTTAGACAAAAATAATGAAAAAAAACTAAAAAACAGGATTAATCTATTTGCTCCTATGTATAATTTAGCCGTTGTAAGTGGATATAGCCTGATTTAGCCCGCTATTAGCTAGCTGTTTGAGGAGGAAGACAGCTAAACGTCTTAGCCCGTTATTTAAACACTGCTAAAAAAACTTCACCACGTACTCTCTCCGTCCCAAAAAGAGTAACGTTTTTTACTTTCAGACATCGTGTTTGACCATTCGTCTTATTCAAAAATTTTGTGTAAATTATAAGATAAATAAATTATTATTAAAGTATCTCTAATGATAAAGTAAGTCATAAGAAAATATATGATATTTATAAAAAAAATTTGAATAAGATGGATGGTGAAACAAAATGTCTGAAAGATAAAAATGATGTTTTTTTTGACCGAGGGAGTACTCTTGTTCGTTGTCGGAGCCGGAAATGGTGACGCCGGAGGGCCTGATGACGACGGCGTGATACGCTTCGTGGGTGCGCCTTCGTAGAACATCATATTCTCGAACCTGAAGTTGCACCGCAGCACGAGGACCCGTCCGCCCAGGCGCACGGACGTTGTGGCGTTGACCACGCCGACGATCCGCTGGAGGCACGCGAGGCAGTCGCCGGCGGACAGGTCCGGCGTGCACTGAGCCAAAGAGTAGAGCGTCGGGATGGAGCTGCTGGAGGCGTCCATGAAGGCCGTGGCGAACCTGCTCGGACTGGTGGCCGCCACCCGAGCGGTCTGCGTGAGCAGATCGTTCACGTCGGCGGCCACCACGGTGGCGTCTCCGGTGATGCTCGTCGGGTTCCAGTACTGGAACAGCGTGCTCATGTCTCGGGTGATGTTGTTGGCTGGGACGAGGATGTTGCTGCTGGAGAAGCCGACGAGGCAGTCATCGTCGTACACGCTGGCGGCCTTGGCGTAGGGGCACATCTTCTGCGCGTACGCAAACGAGTTGTTGACGCAGGTGGCGCACCCGGTGAGGTTGCTGGTGATGTCGCCGCGGCAGAGCGCTAGCGCGTAGACCGCGTCGGGGGCTTGGCCGGCGGTGGCGTTGGCGAATAGTTGGGCGGAGGAAGAGATGCTGGTTGAGACGGCGGCGACGAGGGAGGCAAGGTTGGACTGGTAGGTGCCGTTGGCCGTGTAGTTGCCGGCGTTGCCGCAGACCTGCCCTATTGCCGTTGCTGACGGCAGCACGAGGAGGAAGCTAAGGACGATGAACAGGACGCTCGCCATGGTTAGGCAGGCTACCCGCCGACCGATGGGCACGCTAGCTAGTTGCCATCTTGTTTTTTTTCCCAGGCCAAATGGCTGGTGGAAAGGAAAGATAGAAAGAAACGCTCCAGGTCACCGTCTGCTGCTTTCAATAGGAAGTCAGTCAACGCCTTGCTCCCTTAAACCATCAACCACGGCATTTCTCGCAAAAGTCTTTATACAGTACGCGTGCATAGCGACTGCAAGTGATGCACGGCTACGATTGGGCCAAACCCGCGTCTTCTTCTTCCTCCCGTTCGGGATAGGATGCACACCGCGGGCGGCAGAGCAGTGGGGATTAGGGTCAGGGATTTGGGATTTTCATGAAGACCCTCAGTCAGGCCTTAGACGGGTGGCGGCCAGCCCCGGGCTAGAGGTGGTTCAACGGGTGGTGATAAACTGGCACGTTGATGTTAGTTCGGAGGAGGAGGACTAATAAGTAGGCTGATATTTTTTTTTTTGTCAGGTATTCAACTAGTTCTTAGCTAACTATCTGGCCAACTACAACTAATTGAACTAACTTTAAATAGAGTTGCCCTACATTAGTCTCATGGACCACCTCTCCCACCAAAGACCGGGGCAACGCTTTTTTACTCCTGCAGCCTAAATTTGGTGGTTATTTCCACGAATTTTCTCCGTACGATTTTCATGTGATCTAAACCGTGTTGACTTTTAATTATTATATGAACAAAATTTTGACCTTTCAAACTGTGTTCCCATTTTCAACAGTCTCCGCTTGGGCCGGTTCCAAGCGTTTGTCTCTCTCACACGTGACGCCACAACGGGATCGTGACGTGCCCGTCGCCTACGAAATTTTGTAGGTTTATTTGTATACGAGTGGTGTGAGTAGTGTGCGTATGTTGTGTGGGTATACGTGTACGAACAGATGCTATAGTTGTACTCAGATGAGAGGCGATAAAAAAAACATCAACGTGCCAGTTTATTACACGTAGACACAAGCCTGTTCGTTTGGCTGTGGTTTGTCGTAAACGATCGTAAATTTCTAAATTAAACAGTATTTTTCTCACATAAACCAAAGCAAAGAAGATTTTTTCACGAACCAAACCAACCGAAGCGGGACGACAGACAATGTAAAGCGGACCAGCCTGTAGAAGTGCAACTTTGTTGTCCAATGGCAGATGGACAACAGGTGCGCAGGAGCGAAGGAGGGCATGGATGGCAAAGGCAAGGCAGGCGGTGTGTACCACGTCGTGGGCCTACCTCCTCTCCTTTCTCCTCCCTCCAGAGAGAATTTTTATTTGACTGAAAAAATGAGTCGTTTCTTTCTTGATCTCGAAATTTTTTCGTTTTATTTGACCTCACTTCAACTTTCATCCTAATTTGACACTACCGTCAAATCCGTTTAACGGTGTTAGCGCCCGTTAAAAGGCGTTTTGCCCTTAGAAAAAAAGCGGTGAATCAAATTTGAGAGGAAAAAAACTGCGCCCGCGATGCATGCGCCTGGATGCAAAAAAGGCGCAGGTTTTTTTTCCTCTCAAATTTGCTTCGCCGCTTTTTTTTTCTAGGGGCAAAAACGTCTTTTTAACAGCCAATTAACACCGTTAGCTAACGGATTTGACGGTAGTGTCAAATTAGGGATAAAAGTTGAAGTGAGTGTCAAATAAGGAACGAAGAAAATTTCAGAACCAAAAAAATAACGACTCATTTTCTCAGTGTCAAATAAAGAATTCTCTCCCTCCACTAGCAGCAGCAAGCACACCACACAACAAACACACTCGCAGCCCACAACAAGCTAGCTACGCACATTCTGGTAGCATTTATAACGCACGTCGCCTTAGCTCCACTCACGTGGCTGCGGCCGTCCTTGCCAGCCTTGAACGTCTCGTCACGCGCGCCGTCAATATATGGCTCCGATGTCGGTGTCACACCGAGCTCGGCGCCATGTATTCTGCTGTTGAGGTACCGGCCACGTGAACACCACCTAGGATGCTCTGCTGTGTTTGGCCAGTCACCTCGAAGCTCAGATCTGTGACGCCGAGACATGTTACCTCGACGTCATGAGTCCTGACGTCGACCCCTAGGGTCAAAGATGAGTTTAAGTCTTTCAGAGGACCAAACGTAAATTTTATTAAAAAAATGTCAAATTGTAAAAAATTAGGTGTATTTACTGGGGTCACCGGTAGGACTCAAAACATAATGAAATTTGGTGGAAATTCTGAATCCTGTGTAGATGCCACCAGGGCCATCCATGGAAATTAGCCGTACTAATGGAGATGGTATCAGTGATTGGAACACCAGAGAAGGCAAGAGCAATGGTCTGGTTCGCTAAGAACTAATTGTCATGACTGATGATACCAATCACAATCGATAAGTTCATGTCACAAATTGGTTGTAATACCAATCGGGTGATCATCATGCAACCGACTCGTAATACCTCTATTTAATATTCAGGGATTAACTAACATCTAATTTTCTAAATTAGTTTATCATTAAAAGTTTTGTTAAATTGAGTATGTACAACTAAATCAAAATTTATTATTTGTATTGTCTCTATTTATTTTTTAACACAATATCTATTTGGATACTCTATAATCTCTATTTGGTTGTGATAAATTTATTAATTACTCTATTATGTTTCCGCCCTTTTTGGAATGCATCTATGGATTTTTAATATGTATTTAATTGAAATCTTAGCTTGAGCTATTACATCTTGTTGCATCCCGTTTTCTCTCATCATGAATCTGTATTTTATCTTTCAACTTTGAATCTTATTAGTTCTTGTAATTTTTATCCATGTGTTAAGTTCAAACTCTAGTTTTGTTTGCATCTTTTATTCAAACTTTATTTTTTATATTTTGTTAAAAAAATAGATTTTAGGTCTTCCACTACACTTATAATTATTTCGATGGCATAAACAATCGAATCCGACTACCCAGTCACAGAGTCAATGGCTCTATGTAAATATTTTTTTCACTTATATCAGTAAAAAGAATAGGTAGGGACCTTCACTACGGTTCCCATAAAAATTGCATTCGAGAATAGGAGGCCTTTTTCATATTCTTGAAAGTGGATTATGGAAACACCAGCACACCAGTTCACAAAAAGAAAAAGAAAAGAAACACCAGTACACCACCTAAACTTTTACTACAAGCGCAACAATAATATTAATATATAATTACTAGTCAGTGACTAGGATGATAGTAGAAGTGTAGAACCCCTATGTGCCACTGTGGAAGGGGGAAAAAACTATCTTGGAGTTGTGACCGATATGGTCACATCATTGATACTGCATGACTCAGTAGCTGTGGATGTCTCTTCATTTCCGACCCTCACATTGAAATATGCTGGCTGCTTAGGCTCAGCGACGATCATAGCCGTCTCACTGCTTAGGCTTAGCATTGCAACAACCTCTGCCATGGTCGGCCGATCAGTCGCATTTTCTTGTACACATAGCAATGCAATCTTGATGCACTTAGTCATTTCTGCTGAGTGGCTCTTGGGAACCAAAGATGCATCAACTAGATCAATCCACCTTCCATCGTCCCATAATTGCCATGCCTGTATGCAATATGGTCGCAGGTCATAAGTTCGAATCAGATAAACAAAACAATTGCTAAACTCTTGTGCCAGTGTCTTAAAAACTCACATATCCAATGAGATTGATGAAATCGCCACATTGATGGCTACCGGAGTTCCGTTTTCCGCTAATGATCTCAAGAACAAGGACACCAAAGCTGAATACGTCGGACTTGACAGAGAAGATGCCCTCCGAAGCGTACTCAGGTGCCATGTAGCCACTAAAACGGTATGGAAAACATGTGTCCAAGTCAATATATGTTGTTGATTTTGAATATAAATATTCATAGATGGATTTATTTTAATGAAACTTACTATGTACCAACAACTCTTCTTGTAGTGTTTCCTTCAATGTTGTTTGAGCTGAATATTTTTGCTAGCCCGAAATCTGAAATTTTTGGATTCATTTCTTGGTCCAGGAGAATGTTACTTGGTTTAAGATCTCGATGTATGACACGCAACCTGGAGTGCTTATGTAGGTAATTAAGCCCATGTGCTATTCCCTCAATTATTGCTAGAAGTTTGGGCCAATCCAGTAATGTTCTTCTATTTTCATCTGCACATAAAAATTCATATTAGTAGAAAACACTTGGAAAATGATCAGAATTTTGTACATCTCAATGACTCTATACTCAGGGGGATGATAGAAACAAAATCTTGAGTAAACTTTTGTCAATCTGCTGCGTTAACAAATCATATCTAAACTAAAATTTTAAAAGGCAATGCATACCGAAGATGAAGAAATCCAAGCTTTTGTTTGGTAGGTATTCATAAACCAATATTTTTTCCTCTTCTTGAGAGCAACATCCCAAGAGCCTAACCAAATTACTGTGTTGGAGTTTGGCTATGAGCTGGACTTCATTTTTTGAACTCTGTGAAACCTTGCCCTGAATGTGAAGCAAGTCTCTTGACTGCTATCTCCAATCCTCAGCAAATTGGCCCTGGGAAAAACAGAGTATAATTAAAAAGTTAGGATCTTCCAACTCTACTCTATTGGTAGGCTGGTTCAATATTTCCCTGTCTAGGGTGAATATACCAGCAGGATAGTGACTCTAATCCACAAAGTATTTTCCTCTTAATGAAAAAAACATGCGCAAAAGTATTGTTGGATTGGTTTATATATACTGCTAAATAATTCTCAGTAAAGGAGAAAATGGAAACTATATGTCTTTTTTTCCTAATTAATTTTACCTTGTAGACAGCGCTGAAGCCGCCTTCTCCAAGCTTGTTTTCATCTGAGAAATTATCTGTGGCCTCCAGTATCTGTTCAAAATCAAACACCGAGAACTCTGAATTCTTCCTGTCCAAAACTAGTTCATCTCCCTGCAATTCTTGAGATCCTGCTTTTGGCCTCATCGTTTTACCTGTGGGTATATAAATGAGAATCTTTCTTTCATGCATGTTTAGTCATAGCTTATATGAACATATACCATTAGTTGAATTTAATTTATACAATTTCAGTATGCAACAGATGAACATACCTTTTCCTGTACCTTCTGAACCAAGGGGAGTAGAAAACGAAGCAGAGAAGTGCTGCTGCTGCTAGAGGAACTACAACAACTGGAATCACCCAGAGTTTGCTCTTGCGCCCTGATCTCAACATGCCACTTAATTAAGCTTCCATTGGAAAGTAACAATGTTTAGCTCTGACAAAGAATCTTTATTTGTTTGATGACTGATGAGTACATGCATATGCAGAAATTACAACCATATACTTACTGTTGTGTTTCGCCAGTATAGTTGGAGCTGGAGCTGGCGCCGGCACCGGTCCGAGACGAAGCATGGGTTGACTGTCGTAGAACTGATAGGCCTCGTACCTGAAATAACACCGTATCACGTGGATCTGCGCTCCCATCCGCAGGGCCATGGTGGAGTTGACCATGTCGACGAGACGCCGGAGACACGCCAGGCAGTCGCCAGCGGACAGGTCCGGCGTGCACTGAGCCATGGAGTATACGGTCGGGAAGGTCGTGCCACTGTCCATGACGCCCGTGGCGAACCGCCTGGGCGCCGTGCTGGCCGCCCTTTCCACGGTATCCACCACCAGCTCGTGGATGAGGCCGGTGATGAGGCGGACGTCGTCGGCGTCTCCGGTGACGTTCTTGATGTTCCATCTCACAAAGGAGCGTCGCCTGTGGCGTTGGAGGGGTCGACGATGTTGTCGCCGGACCAGAAGACCGGGCACGCTTTAGGAGAAGAAGCCCCGTAGCACTGCTGGTCCGGCGGCGGTGTTATATTGAACGCCTGGCGACGCATTCACCGCAGGCGGTGGCGTTGTAGTCGCCTTTGGCAGAAGGCGAGAGCGTACACGACGTCGGGGGCTTGGCCGACGATGGAGGTGGCGAACTGTACAGGGGAGGAGGAGGTGTTTTGGGGAGAGTGGCGGCCACCTGTTTAAGGTTGTCGCAGAATACGTCGGCGGCTGCCGGAGATGGCCTGAGGCCGCCAAGGACGAAGAGCAGGACGCCGAAGATGACGTAGTTCATCATGGCTAGGCTAACCTGCTTCAAGTCTTTCGTTCACTTTCGGCGGGTTAGACGATCATCTGGGCAGGTCTCCTTATTTATCAGCAATTCTCCAATTCCATCACCATCAACGACTTGACTTGAAAAAAAAAAGAATGGAAAATTTTCAGCTGATTTCTGTTTCTGCACCGGCGACTCAGTTGCTTTCTGCGCTTGGTTGTCTTCTCCAGCAAGAATAGAATTAGCTAACTTGATTTTCTTAGGGCCAGTTTAGATGGTGAAATTTTTTATAAAATGACACTGTAGCAGTTTTCGTTGTTATTTGGTAATTAGTGTCCAATCATAGTCTAATTAGGCTTAAAAGATTTGTCTCGTGGATTTTGTCTAAACTGTGTAATTAGTTTTATTTTTTTATTTATATTTAATGCTTCTTGCATGCGTCCAAAGATTCGATGTGACAAAAAATCTTGAAAAATTTGACATTTTGGAGTGGAACTAAACGGTACCTTAGTTTTAGAACAAAAGTTCACTTTGTATTTTTACCTACTAGAACTTTTATTCCTTCGGAGAAACTTGTTCTTGCACGCTTAAAATAGCCATGTTCTCTGATAAACCTGCTTGGCTCTGTCTAGCACATCTTATGGTAGATGCGTGTACTTAGGGCGTGTTTGGATCATTAGATTTTAGGAGGGGAAGTTGTTTGGATCCAACTGATGATAGACAGTTGGATAGTGGGTTAAAGGTGAATATGAAGTATTAGCATCTATTAACAATTCCAATCATGCTAATGAAACTAATAAAAATTAGCAGGTTTGCTAGTAGGTCTGTTTGAATTCATTAATACTAATTTTAGCCGCTAGTTTTTAGTACTTGATGGATCAAACAGGCCCTTAAGCTTGATTATAAGGTATGAGCGTGAAGCGCAGAGGACCAATTTGAGATGCATAACTCGGTCAAATTACGGTGAGTAGTGATTGATACGGTGTTTCGAGCATTTCAGTCCTGGTATATTCAATTGTTCATGATTATATTTCTGGCAAACCCGATACAGCGGAAGAGTAGATTTCAGTTTTCTGGAAAAGCGGGGTAGCGCGGAAAACTACCTTCCAAATGCCGTGTGTAGTTGCAGAGCGGCGAGCGTAGACCGCTGCCGGGGCTTGGCCGGCGGTGGCGTTGGCGAATAGTTGGGCGGAGGAAGAGATGTTGATTGAGACGGCGGCGACGAGGGAGGCAAGGTTGGACTGGTAGGTGCCGTTGGCCGTGTAGTTGCCGCAGACCTGCCCTATTGCCGTTGCTGACGGCAGCACGAGGAGGAAGCTAAGGACGATGAACAGGACGCTCGCCAAGGTTAGGCAGGCTACCCGGCGACCGATGGGCACGCTAGCTAGTTGCCATCTTGTTTTTTTCCCAGGGCAAACGGCTGGTGGAAAGGAAAGATAGAAAGAAACGCTCCAGGTCACCGTCTGCTGCTTTCAATAGGAAGTCAGTCAACGCCTGCTTTAAACCATCAACCACGGCATTTCTCGCAAAAGTCTTTATACAGTACGCGGGTAGATGGAGATCGAAGGGAGAAGAAACTGTATGTTATTATCAGAGTATCAAGACGTGTTGACGTCAATTTGAATTATTGTCTCTGATTTAGTCTGTTGCTTTCAGCAGAAAGTCTGCTTTTGCATTTCTGAATATTCATGAAAAAAACAAAGGATCCGAGCTATAGGGGTCGTCACGTCGCTTGCATGCATGGCTGTATCTTTGATTTAGTCTTTTAATTTCATATATAAATTCTTTCTTCATCCGTGTTGTGTCGGTCCACGCTCACCTAATAACTACTGAAACATACCACAGATATCATTACCTCCAACTGACTCCGTCGACAATCAGACCATGTGCCATTTGTCGTACATAGATGCAAAGGTTTGGCCTGCTGGTTTTGACATAAATATCGGAGGGCCTGTAGAAACGGTAATCGCTGAAATTTAAAAAAAAACCGTGAAATATAAATGAAATCTCAACCGAATGAAAAATAAAATTAGTGATATATGTATTTACTGGGGTCACCGGTAGGACTCAAAACATAATGAAATTCGGTGGAAATTTGAATCCTATGTAGATGCCACCAGGGCCATCCATGGAAATTAGCCGTACTAATGGAGATGGTATCAGTGATTGTAACACCAGAGAAGGCAAGAGCAATGGTCTGGTTCGCTAAGAACTAATTGTCATGACTGATGATACCAATCACAATCGATAAGTTGGTGTCACAAATTGGTTGTAATACCAATCGGGTGATCATCATGCAACCGACTCGTAATACCTCTATTTAATATTCAGGGATTAACTAACATCTAATTTTCTAAATTAGTTTATCATTAAAAGTTTCATTAAATTGAGTATGTACAACTAAATCAAAATTTATTATTTGTATTGTCTCTATTTATTTCTTAACACAATATCTATTTGGATACTCTATAATCTCTATTTGGTTATGATAAATTTATTAATTACTCTATTACGCTTTCCGCCTTTTTGGAATGCATCTATGGATTTTTAATATGTATTTAATTGAAATCTTAGCTTGAGCTATTACATCTTGTTGCATCCCCTTTTCTCTCATCATGAATCTGTATTTTATCTTTCAACTTTGAATCTTATTAGTTCTTGTAATTTTTATCCATGTGTTAAGTTCAAACTCTAGTTTTTTGTTTGCATCTTTTATTCAAACTTTATTTTTATATTTTGTTAAAAAATAGATTTTAGGTCTTCCACTACACTTATAATTATTTCGATGGCATAAATAATCGAATCCGGCTACCCAGTCACAGAGTCAATGGCTCTATGTAAATAATTTTTCACTTATATCAGTAAAAAGAATAGGTAGGGACCTACACTACGGTTCCCATAAAAAATGCATTAGAGAATAGGAAGCCTTTCTCATATTCTTGAAAGTGGATTATTGAAACACCAGCACACCAGTTCACAAAAAGAAAAAGAAAAGAAAGACCAGTACACCACCTAAACTTTTACTACAAGCGCAACAATAATATTAATATATAATTACTAGTCAGTGACTAGGATGATAGTAGAAGCGTAGAACCCCTATGTGCCACTGAGGAAGGAAAAAAAACTATCTTGGAGTTGTGACCGATATGGTCACATCATTGATACTGCATGACTCAGGAGCTGTGGATGTCTCTTCATTTCCGACCCTCACATTGAAATATGCTGGCTGCTTAGGCTCAGCGACGATCATAGCCGTCTCACTGCTTAGGCTTAGCATTGCAACAACCTCTGCCATGGTCGGCCGATCAGTCGCATTTTCTTGTACACATAGCAATGCAATCTTGATGCACTTAGTCATTTCTGCTGAGTGGCTCTTGGGAACCAAAGATGCATCAACTAGATCAATCCACCTTCCATCGTCCCATAATTGCCATGCCTGTATGCAATATGGTCGCAGGTCATAAGTTCGAATCAGATAAACAAAACAATTGCTAAACTCTTGTGCCAGTGTCTTAAAACTCACATATCCAATGAGATTGATGAAATCGCCACATTGATGGCTACCGGAGTTCCGCTTTTCCGCTAATGATCTCAAGAACAAGGACACCAAAGCTGAATACGTCGGACTTGACAGAGAAGATGCCCTCCGAAGCGCACTCAGGTGCCATGTAGCCACTAAAACGGTATGGAAAACATGTGTCCAAGTCAATATATGTTGTTGATTTTGAATATAAATATTCATAGATGGATTTATTTTAATGAAACTTACTATGTACCAACAACTCTTCTTGTAGTGTTTCCTTCAATGTTGTTTGAGCTGAATATTTTTGCTAGCCCGAAATCTGAAATTTTTGGATTCATTTCTTGGTCCAGGAGAATGTTACTTGGTTTAAGATCTCGATGTATGACACGCAGCCTGGAGTGCTTATGTAGGTAATTAAGCCCATGTGCTATTCCCTCAATTATTGCTAGAAGTTTGGGCCAATCCAGTAATGTTCTTCTATTTTCATCTGCACATAAAAATTCATATTAGTAGAAAACACTTGGAAAATAATCAGAATTTTGTACATCTCAATGACTCTATGCTCATGGGGATGATAGAAACAAAATCTTGAGTAAACTTTTTGTCAATCTGCTATGTTAACAAATCATATCTAAACTAAAATTTAAAAAGGCAATGCATACCGAAGATGAAGAAATCCAAGCTTTTGTTTGGTAGGTATTCATAAACCAATATTTTTTCCTCTTCTTGAGAGCAACATCCCAAGAGCCTAACCAAATTACTGTGTTGGAGTTTGGCTATGAGCTGGACTTCATTTTTGAACTCTGTGAAACCTTGCCCTGAATGTGAAGCAAGTCTCTTGACTGCTATCTCCAATCCCTCAGCAAATTGGCCCTGGGAAAAACAGAGTATAATTAAAAAGTTAGGATCTTCCAACTCTACTCTATTGGTAGGCTGGTTCAATATTTCCTGTCTAGGGTGAATATACCAGCAGGATAGTGACTCTAATCCACAAAGTATTTTCCTCTTAATGAAAAACATGCTAAAAGTATTGTTGGATTGGTTTATATATACTGCTAAATAATTCTCAGTAAAGGAGAAAATGGCAAGTATATGTCTTTTTTTTCCTAATTAATTTACCTTGTAGACAGCGCCAAGCCTCCTTCTCCAAGCTTGTTTTCATCTGAGAAATTATCTGTGGCCTCCAGTATCTGTTCAAAATCAAACACCGAGAACTCTGAATTCTTCCTGTCCAAAACTAGTTCTTCTCCCTGCAATTCTTGAGATCCTGCTTTTGGCCTCATCGTTTTACCTGTGGGTATATAAATGAGAATCTTTCTTTCATGCATGTTTAGTCATAGCTTATATGAACATATACCATTAGTTGAATTTAATTTATACAATTTCAGTATGCAACAGATGAACATACCTTTCCTGTACCTTCTGAACCAAGGGGAGTAGAAAACGAAGCAGAGAAGTGCTGCTGCTGCTAGAGGAACTACAACAACTGGAATCACCCAGAGTTTGCTCTTGCGCCCTGATCTCAACATGCCACTTAATTAAGCTTCCATTGGAAAGTAACAATGTTTAGCTCTGACAAAGAATCTTTATTTGTTTGATGACTGATGAGTACATGCATATGCAGAAATTACAACCATATACTTACTGTTGTGTTTCGCCAGTATAGTTGGAGCTGGAGCTGGCGCCGGCACCGGTCCGAGACGAAGCATGGGTTGACTGTCGTAGAACTGATAGGCCTCGTACCTGAAATAACACCGTATCACGTGGATCTGCGCTCCCATCCGCAGGGCCATGGTGGAGTTGACCATGTCGACGAGACGCCGGAGACACGCCAGGCAGTCGCCAGCGGACAGGTCCGGCGTGCACTGCGCCATGGAGTATACGGTCGGGAAGGTCGTGCCACTGTCCATGACGCCCGTGGCGAACCGCCTGGGCGCCGTGCTGGCCGCCCTTTCCACGGTATCCACCACCAGCTCGTGGATGAGGCCGGTGATGAGGCGGACGTCGTCGGCGTCTCCGGTGACGTTCTTGATGTTCCATCTCACAAAAGGAACGTCGCCTGTGGCGTTGGAGGGGTCGACGATGTTGTCGCCGGACCAGAAGACCGGGCACGCTTTGTAGGAGAAGCCGCCCCGTTAGCACTGCCACTGCTGGTCCGGCGGCGGTGTTATATTGAACGCCTGGGCGACGCATTCACCGCAGGCGGTGGCGTTGTAGTCGCCTTGGCAGAAGGCGAGAGCGTACACGACGTCGGGGGCTTGGCCGACGATGGAGGTGGCGAACTGTACAGGGGAGGAGGAGGTGTTTTGGGGGAGAGTGGCGGCCACCTGTTTAAGGTTGTCGCAGAATACGTCGGCGGCTGCCGGAGATGGCCCGAGGCCGCCAAGGACGAAGAGCAGGACGCCGAAGATGACGTAGTTCATCATGGCTAGGCTAACCTGCTTAAGTCTTTCGTTCACTTTCGGCGGGTTAGACGATCATCTGGGCAGGTCTCCTTATTTATCAGCAATTCTCCAATTCCATCACCATCAACGACTCCACTTGAAAAAAAAAAAGAATGGAAAATTTTCAGTTGATTTCTGTTTCTGCACCGGTGACTCAGTTGCTTTCTGCGCTTGGTTGTCTTCTCCGGCAAGAATAGAATTAGCTAACTTGATTTTCTTAGTTTTAGAACAAAAGTTCACTTTGTATTTTTACCTACTAGAACTTTTATTCCTTCAGAGAAACTTGTTCTTGCGCGCTTAAAATGGCCATGTTCTCTGAGAAACCTGCTTGGCTCTGTCTAGCACATCTTATGGTAGATGCCTGTACTTAGGGCTTGTCTGGATCCATTAGATTTTAGGAGGGAAGTTGTTTGGATCCACCTGATGATAGACGATTGGATAGTGAGTTAAAGGTGAATATGAAGTATTAGCATCTTTTAACAATTCCAAACATGCTAATGAAACTAATAAAAATTAGCAGGTTTGCTAGTAGGTCTGTTTGGATTCATTAATATTAATTTTAGCCACTAGTTTTTAGTACTAATGGATCCAAATAGGCACTTAAGCGACTATAAGGTATGAGCATGAAGCGTAGAGGACCAATTTGAGATGCGTAACACGGTCAAATTACGGTGAGTAGTGATTGATACGGTGTTTCGAGCATTTCGGTCTGGTATATTCAATTGTTCATGATTATATTTCTGGCAAACCCGAGGCAGCGGAAGAGTGGATTTCAGCTTTCTGGAAAAGGGGGTAGCGCTGAAAACTACCTTCAAACGCCGTGTGCAGTTGCAGCAGCTAAAACCATTCGTTTTGTTTTTCCAAAAAAAACTTCCAAGACATACCCTGTAATTTAAAAGTTCCATCCTATTCCGGAAGTTCCGGGATGTCCAGACGGTTTTAGTGTGTGTTTGCGTCTATTTTGCTTTAAGGATTTTTCTAGCATTGTTCTTAGGCTTAACAGTGATGATTGACGATTTAGATCATAGCACCTTCCTTCTAAAAAACCTGCAGGTCGCCAACCCGGTCTTGGAAAATCCCTAGGTTTTTAAGTCATTTAAAAGTTTTTTTGGAAACGAAATCATTTAAAAGTAATTCAGGCAAAAAATGCTGAGACTCTTCGCCCTCTTGTAACAGGCTCTATTGTCCTGATCTCAGATTTTCAGGTTCAAAATACGACATAGATGTGTCATAATCAGGTGTCATTGTCAGTGACCAACAAATTAGAGATGCCAACAGTTTTCCACAAACGACGGCCGTCTTGACTCCGGCACTCAGAAATTGCCGACCACTGCGTGCCGGCTGGGCCGGGAGAAGATATTAGCCAGCTCAACCACGACCGTCTACAGTTGACTATGCCCGATGCTGGGTCGTGGTCGGCGAAGTTTATCCAACTATTGCTTTCAGCGTTTCCCTGGTATGCAGCAGCAACACAAGGTCCAAACTACTACTCACATATCACATAGAGATAGAGAAGATTGCGATGACATGTTTTTCACTGAGAAGTAGAAGTTTTATATTAAAGAAAAGGACCGGAGCGTAGGCTTAAATTTTAATTTCTTTAATCATTCACCTTGATCCTCGCATCAGGTCTGGCTAGAAGGAACAATGTGTTCACTTGAAATTCTTTTTCTCAAAAATGAAAATTGAATTGCGATCAGACTTTATCCATATCTCTTATTATAAAGTTAATCCCGCCACAAGTTCTATGTCAACGCCTCTGATGCTGGGCGCCGATTGAAGAACGAGGAAAAACTGGAAACTAAGTAGTAATAGTAGCGATGCTGAATGATTAAGTGCGAGTAAGTAAAGTTTTACAGAGTTCAAGCATATCGGTTGCCCTCTCCTTCGTTCTTATGATGTTCCTCATTAGTTCTTATAGTAGTTGGAAACCCTGATCCTTGCACACCTCAGCCTCTTATGCTAGTTGTAGGTCTTTCCATCAGTACCAGATCTATCAATAGAAGAGAATACTCAATAAATCAATGTCACCAATCTGATGCAACGGTTTATGCATCATCTATCAAGAGGAGGAACGAAATATGTATTAATTTATTTTTAGTGAGACCATACCCAGTTGGTTCGTCTGTTGAGCCAATAGTAAAAGTGTCAGCATTACCAGTAGTTCCGCGATCAAGTGCTTGCACAAGTCTGCTAAAATCATTTCAACATGTAGCCGATTCTCACGAACATGATGGAACCTAATAGTCATGTTCACAGTACCGCTTTGGCGTCGACCAGCAAATGCGTCAAGAATGAAGTTAGACGCCATTGTGAGACTCTTTAAAATATCATGCTTGCAATTGATTACAAGAAGCATGTCAGCATAAATAAAAAGATAATAATAATAATACCACAAATCGGTTTTCGAAAAATAATACCACAAATCAAGCAAGTATATATATATACTCTCTGTCTTGTTCATTCAAAAATATATTTCCAGCTGCGTAAATGGACAACAATTGTTCATATACATAGCTAGAAATGCATTTTATTTTGGTATAGAGGAGTATTAGCCTATTATCATTATTAAGACAGACAGGAACGGGCGCATACCCCCATGACAACGACTATGGCGGAGACGACAGATTGATAACCTCCTCTGTAGCATGACATTAAAGGCTGACCATCGAATAAGATGGCTTGATGAAAAAGTGGTGTTGCATTGGTTTCAACACCATGACATAACATCTGCATTGGTTTCAACACCATGACATAACATCGGCTTCTGTTTGATCCTATTGGCACAAACTTTAGTCCTGCACTTTTTGCTCACTTTAGCTTTTGGGGATCAAACATGTGGGGCTAAAAGGAGAGGACTAATTTTAACCCCCCATTAGTTCATTTGCCCTCAAGGTAGGCTAAAGGGGCTAAAAGTGCTTCCACTCTCTTCTCTCTCCTTTTTCTTTCACCTTTAGTCACATTTTAACACTGGAACCAAATAGACTAAACTTTGGGGACCAAACTTTTAGTCCAAGGACTAAAAGATCCAATCAGGTCCTTAACACTAGTCTC